TTTTGGTTTTTGGTTTTTCCATTCAATTGGGAGGATAGAGAGAAAATAAATGCTAGATAATTGATAAATTTGAAACATCAACAACAACGAAGGAGCAACCAAGGAAATACAGGTCACACAAGGGCAGCCTGCAAACTGGATTTGGGGGAGGGGAGGCTGGTGTAGAGTAGCCAGCCCCATTCCCAGCCCGGCCATCTTACCTTGGTGACAGATCAATAGGGCAGGGCTTTGTGTTTCCAATTTACGGAATCTCATAGTGTTGTTGTTTGTTGTTGTTGTTGTTGCTAGCAACACCAGCTCATGGAAAGATCACAGCGTTTGGAATCTGAGGTCCAAAATCAAAATCTATACAGTTCTCTTGTTTACTACCTGGATGACCTTGAGCGAGTCATTTAACCTGGGGTAAGGTGGGTTCAGTTTCCTTATGCATATAATGGGGAGGTTGGGTTACATGATCTCCAAAGCTGGTCCCTCTGAACTCTAAATCCCTGATCCTATGAGCCACTGTTCAGAGATGTTGCCGGGATCCATCAGGGCCATCTCTTTCGACCTGTTGCTATCCTGATTCACTTGCATGCCTCCAGCTGGTACTCAAAGTAACTTTCCTTTCTTCTCTCCCCTCCAAAAAAAAAAAACCCAAAAAACCCACCCGCAACCATACTCTATGGATGTCCCTGACTGTAGTTTAAGAATTGGGAAAGGGGGGGAGAAGACGGAGAAGGAACTGTCAGAGAATAAGGAGGAGAACTTGAAGAGATTTCCTGACATAAATTGTAGGTCTATTTAACTGGGATAAAATATTTGCATCCTCTCTTTCCCTTAGTTCTTATGATCAGAAATGTAACTTTTAAAAAATAGTTAGATAACATTAACCGATGAAATAGATGATCCTTTTTATTATTATTAAAAACCAGTGAAAGAGAGTTTCAGAGGGGAGGGGAGACTTGTTCCGGGCTGGTCAAGTACTATGGCAGAGATCAGGAACCCAAGTCTGGAGACAGGGCCATGAACAATGGTAACCACTACCTTGGAGAGAACAGTTTCAGTGATGAGAGGGAAAATCACACTGTGGTGGGGGGGGGGGGGGGGGGTTAAGGAAAGGGTGGTAGAGAAAACACAAATCTCAACTATTCATTTGGCATCAGTCATAGCACCAGCCACATCAGGGAACTGTTAAGGTCTTTTCCAGCTTCTTCCTTGTTTGGCTTCTGAGGAGTCATAAGGAAACCCAGTGACATCACTGAACTCTGGGTTTTCTGTTCTTTACTAGCTCCTTTCTGATTCGCAGAGTGGACAATTGGTTAGAAAGCGGGTTGACTTCTTTGGATGGAACAGTCATTTCTTTCTAAGAGAGAGAGAGCTGTAAGGCTCTGCCAACCAGGGTTGTGCTGGTGACAGTCTGTACAGAGCTGATTGTTAAATTTTCACTGTGAGCTCTTACAACTCATTAATCAGAAAACGCTACAAATCAGGGCTTAATTCATTGTTTTGTTGGTTGTTTAGACTTAAGAAAATTATGGAGAAAATGTTAAAATTGCAGATTAAACTTCAATGTGAGGGCAGTTAGGTAGAGCAGTAGGTAGAGGCCCTGGAGTCAGGAGGACCTGAGTTCAAATCCTGACCTCAGACACTTAATAGCTATGTGATCCTGGGTAAGTCACTTAACCCGGAGTGCCTCCAAAAAGAATCATATGTGTTTATATATCATTTTTGGAGAGTTGATTATTAAATAGTAATCAGATCCCTTCTGCCCATCCCAGAATGAGAGTTCCTATCTCTCTTCTGAGATTCCCAGAAGCCTCAGGAAGCTCTGTCATTCCTTATTCTAGCATCTCACATGCCCTCTCTGGAAGTACTCACTCCTGTTTACCTTAAGTCCTCCTGGTTATAGGGGCCGGTTCCCTCTCGTCCTTGTTCCCAATGGACATAGAAAACAGCTGCTCTTGGTCCTTCAGCCAGGGCCTTTTACTGAGACAGTTGTGGTCCAGCCTGAGCCAAAGAACTGGATTCCATGAACAGGTATGCCCACTTCCTAGCTTTCTGACCTTGGATAACTCAATCTCTCCAAATCTGCTCCCTCATCTATACTATGGCGATGATCATCATTGCTATTATAACTACTGATAACAACTGACATCTACAATATATAAAGTGCTTTGCATACTCGAACTCATTTGGTGCTCACACCAGCCAAGGCTTCACCACTTAACTCAGAGCTTCTGTGAACATAAGGTAAGGTGGAAATGCTTTGTACATGAAAAGTCAGTGTACAGGTTTCTTAGGTGCTTTCTGTGTTCAGGGCTAATGCTAAACCCCAGGGATACAAAGAAAGGCAAAACTGTCCCCGTCCTCTGGGATCTTACATCCTAATGGGGGAAAGGCCGTGTAAATAATTAGATACGTAGAAGATATATACGGAGTAATGGAAGGTAGCCTGAGCAGCTGGAGGGAGTGGGGGAAAAAACTGGAAACGGCCACCTGCACAACGTGGGACTTGAGTCTTAAAGGAAGTCAGGGAAACCAGGAGGTGGAGGGAAGGGGTCCACATGGAGGGTTGGGGGTCTAAACCATGGGGAAGGAGCCCACGTGAGCGGGGAGAGGGATCATCTGGAGGGGGCCAGGTGAAGAAGAGGGAGCCCACATGAGGAGGGAGGGGGCTGAGGCAGAGAGGAGGGGGCCTATGTGGAGGGGGAGGCCAACATGGAGGGGAGGTAGCAGAGTATTACAGACACGAGGGAGGGCCAGCGCAAAGTCATGGAGATAGGGAGTTGTGTTAGCAAATAGAACCAATGTAGTAGGATTGTAGTTGGGGGGGGGAGAAATTATAACAAAACTGTAAAGGTGGGAAGGGCCAGGTTATGAAATATATTTAATTCCAAATATAGGAGTTTATATCTGAGACTGGTAGTAATAGGGAGTCATTGGAGCTTGTCTTGGAGATAAGGGGAGAAGAGAGAGGTGCTATGGTCGAACTTGGGCTTTAGAAAAATTACCTTGGCAGCTGGGGGGGTGGAAGGATTGTAAAGGGGGAAACACTAGAGGTTGGGAGACCAGTCAGAAGTCTATTGCGGTTGTTCAGGGAGAAAAGGAAATGTATTTTAAAAAAGAGGTAGTGAAGGTAGAAATGACAAGATTATGAATTAAATGTGTGGGGTAAATATCAGAAGGAAGATATTTTAATGAGGAATGGACTGGATGATTCTAAAGTCCCTCAGTTCTGAGACCCAGTGATTCTTTTTGTTCAGTTTTTTTTCCAGTCAAGTACAGCCTTTCCTGACCCCATTTGGGGTTTTCTTGGCAAAGATACAGGAGTGGTTTGCCATTTTATTCCCCAGCTCCTTTTACAAATGAGGAAACTGAGACAAACAGGATCAAGTGACTTGCCCAGGGTCACACAGCTAATAAGTGTCTGAGGCCTGATTTGAATTCAAGAGTCTAGGCCCAGCGCTTTGTGCACTATGGCGCCACCTAGCTGCCCTGCCATACTCTCTCTACAATCCAGTAAAACTAATTTTATTACTGTTTCTCACAGCTGACTTACCATCTTCTGTTTCCCTGACTTTGCACAGGCTATCATCCCCCATGCTTGGAGTGCATTCCCTCCCCACTTCCCATGTCTCGGGATGCCTGATGTCCTTCCAGACTGTACTCAAGTGTCACTTTTCTTTTCTCTTTAAACTGCTAAGTGTGTCCCCAACCCCTATTTTGTACGTGTTCAGTATATACTTCTATATGTACTTTTGGTATCCCTAGCACCTAACCCAGAGCCTGGCACACAGCAGGTGCTTAATAAGTGTTTATCGATTGACTGATAGACTGTCAAAAACTGAGCTCCAGCTGTTCAGAGGCTGATGTCTATCATGCCACATTACTGGGTTGGAAAGTGAAGTGCACGCACAATCCCCCTCTTCCACAAATGACACCCAAAGAAAATTACATTTATAGGCTGGATATAATGTTTAATTAACAAAGCTACAGCCTGTCACTGTTATTGCTGTAGCAGGTTCATCGTGTGTATTTTGAAAGGATGTAGAATAGGCTGAGATACCCAGTACTCAGCCTGAACCTCTGATAAGCAGCAACTGGAAGATGATCCCCAGAGAGGCCGTCAGCATCTTGTCTGCGTGAGGCCCAGAACCTTCCTCACTTCTTCTACATCACCATCTTCCCACACCAGGAGAAGGCAAGAGAAAGGCAAAGGCCAAGGCCTGTGCGCAGAGCTTTCTCCCAGAGGGCGGATCAGCTCTTGGGAAGGCCTGGTCTTCACTGATGTTCAGAAAAACTGCTGATCCAGCCAGATGAGTGTCCACGGGTGGAGGCTGATAGCTGATGTCCTCAGCAGAGGCTCAACCTTGGGTTACGGCCCCCTGTGGCCCAGCTCTAGGCTGAGAAACCTAAATTGTTTGGGGCCATTGGATACATACATATATATCTATATATATATATCTATATATATCTATATATATAGATATTATATATATGTATATATATATTTTTAAATTTCCTTTCCAAAATGGAACTAGCTGCGGCTGGGGGTGGGGCCTGTTTCCTGATGTAGCGAAATATGGATACTCTTTTCAGTACTGGCCAGAGGAAGAGTCATTTCCGCCAAAATTAAAATATCCCACATTCTTTCCATTCTCAATTACCCAAATTCCTCATGTCCTTAGTGGGTCCATTGTCCAGCATGTAGCTGCATGGTAGTGAGCAGGTAAGGAACAGCTGCAAAACCTCTGGGCTGAGTTGGGAGGTCACAGCCCCATGCCAGCCGAAATGCTGACCCTCTCCCCCCACGGTCACCTCCAACCAGAGCACTCTAGTTTCAGACTCCTTCCTCTCCCCGCTGAGGGAGTATTCTAGTCCCAGGGCTCATCGGGCGGGGCCCCAAGAGGGGAGTGCAGGTGGCCGAGAAGAAAACCAGCGAACTGCACCGTCCACCCCTGGTGGGGACCCAGGATGGTGAGGTGCCTGAAGGCCCATCCCCCGGAGGGGCGGTATCATCAGCTATTGGTGAAGCGTCGTTGTCCTGGGGAGGCCTCCGGTCGGAAGCTATGCTTGCCCAGGGAGCTGGGGTAGTAGGTCGTTGTGTACACGTTGGTCTGCTGCAGCGGGTAGAAGTTGGCCCTGTCATCGGGGATTAAGTTGTTTTTGTTCAGGGTCTACAGGAGAAGGAAAGAGAGACGGCAATCAGCTGGGGCTGGTGAGGAGAGGGTGGTAAAGGAACAGGATGGGAAGGAGGGGCATAATGGACTGAGACAAGGAGGGAGGCTCTTGGGCAGAAAGAGAGGTCGAGACAGGGACTGAAACGGGCCTGGGTGGGAGTGAGGCTGGAGGGGAGGAACTGAGGCCGAAGAGAAAACGAAGAGAAGCAAGGCGTACAAAGCAGGAGAAAGAGGATTGGGATGAGTGAGGCAGGAAGAGGGCAGAGGAGATGGATCGAGGAAACATAAGGAACTAGGTCAAGGACAAGACAAGCGAGGGATGGGGGAGGAGAGAAAGGGCTGAAGTACAGAGTGAGAGAATGAAAGAGGGCAGATAGGAGATGGGGAAACGTAGAGGCGAGGGAGGTACTTTTCCTCGTTTTCCTGCCTTTGCTGAGGCCCTCCTTCCTTCCTCCTGTCTTTACCATTGAAATCTCTTCCATCTTTCAAGGCCCAGCACCTTCAAAAGGCCTTCCCTAATGCCCCTCCCACACCCCACTCCCAACCTAGCTAAAGTGATCCCTCCCTCCTCTGAACACATAACACTTTGTATCTCTTATGATAAGAGTTCACATTTACATAGTGTGTCAGGTCACTATTTCCATACAGCAATCCCTATACTGGGTGAGCAGTGCAAATATTTTTAGCCCATTTGACAGATGAGGAAACTCAGACCCAAATGGAGGCCTCAAGAGACTTGCCTAAGTTAAGAAATGTTGAAGCTGGGATTTGAACCCAGGTCTTCTGACTCTAAGTTGAGTGCTTTTTCCACTTGCTCTATTTCATTATTTATGAATAGTAATAGTAGTTATTCCTATATGTGTATAAACTCCTTGAGGTCAGGGATTGTTTTGCTTCTGACTTTGTATCCCCAGCACCTATCAGAGTGCCTTGTGCAAGCCCCAGAACCCAGTCTTTTCCTTTTCCTAGTGAACGTCCTCTGAGGCAGATGGGACGCTTCCAGCCCTTGAATGTTGGGGCAGGTAGGGGCTGCCGGTCTAGAGCGTCCTGACCTCCACTGCCCCGGCCATTTGGGATCCTCCAAAGTTCACTGGTAGAAACCTGGTTATGATACTTGTACTTTCTAGAATCTAGAAGATGGGACTTAAAGGAAGCCAGGAAGTGGAGGTCTAGAATCTAGAATCTAGGTTTGACTTTCTTTTTAGTGTTCTCCAGGGTGATGGGGCCAAACTCGGGAGAACTCATCCTAAAACAATATGGAGCCGTCCAATCCATGGCAGTGACAGACAGTGTGGGTAAAGCACAGGGACTTAATCAACAACCAATTTTCAGGAAAAACTCTTTTCCTGACACAGACAGACAGGCAGGCAGGCAGGCTCGGCACACAACCGTAGACCCTCAGCTAGACTGCGCCAAGAAGGGGAAGTCATCCCACTTTCTCTGTTCCTGATCTGGCACCTGGTACACCAGGCCTCTACGGTCCTCCCAACTGTAAAACTGGGATGATAATAGCACCTACCTCCTAGGGCAGTTGTAAGGAATCCAATGACAGTATTTGTAAAGCTCTTCTCACAATCCTGGGCACATATGTTGTTGGTTCCTTCCTTTCTACCTCTATCAATTACACCACATTGTGCGTGTCTGCGTCTGTGAAAACTTGTGAATGTATGTCTGATCTTTTTGTATTACCCTGTGAGTGTCTATGATTCTGAGTGGGCGTAATTCTCTTACTGCCCTCTGCCCCCAGTTCATCGATCATAGGTTCAGAGCTGGAAGTGACCTCTGTGATCATCTACTTCAATTTCCTCTTTTTTACAGATGAGGAAACTGAGGTCTAGAGCCTCTGGGCCTTGGAGTCCCAAGATCATACAGGTTATCATGGCATAACTGGGATTTGAATCTAGGTCTTCTGACACCCAAACCATCCCTCTTTCCTCTCTTCCATGATCCTTCTCGAAGGAGACAATCCGTATGGTTAAGCATAAACCAAAATTGGGATCCTCTCCTTTGCTCTTTGTTGCCCAACTCAAAGAGGAATAGGAGGGATTCTTCCTACCTTGAACTCCATGGGTGTGTATTTCTCATTCTTGGGGGTGCCACCACCCCCACTCTTGTAGTTAAGGTGGTTGGGGGTGGTGGGGTGGACAAGCGTAGACTCCTGGGTCTGCCGTTGGCAGCGTTGGCAGGACAGGTAGACAGCAAATGTCAGGAGGCCCGAGCCCAAGAAGCAGGAAACACCAGTAGCCACCAAATGGATAAGGCTGAAACCTGCATGGGAGAGGAAAGGAGGGAATATGTGGGGGGAGTAATGGAGAAAGAGGACACTCAAATGCCTCCTGAAGGGCTTTCAAGGACAGGGAAGAACAAAGTGTAACAGGCAAGAGGGTGGGGAACAAATGAGATATAGGGGTGGGGTGGCCTACAGATGCTCAGGGGAAGCTGTGGAGTCTCATTAGAGGGAGGGTCTCTTTGGTAGGACAAGAGAGTTTAGGGGTTAGGTCAGAAGTGTAACAGAAAGGATTCAGGTGAAGAATCTTCTTCATGCTCCCAAATCCGATGACTGCCTCCAAGTGGGGCAAGGTGGGGTGGACCCAGCGTGGTTAGGGGGGACACCCATACTTCTCCTCCCTTCCTACCATAACCCCAAGGTCAGAGGAGTCAATCCAGCCAGGAATGTCAGGCTTGGTAGGAACACAATATCAAACCTCACTCTATTTATTCCCATCAAGTCTTGATGGTTTAAGGTAGGAGGCTCCAGATTTGAAGAGTGGAGTAAGGTTTGATATTGGGAAGGGGGAAAGTTTAACAGGAGTTGTCTAGTAGTGAGATCTAAGATGAATGATGGTTACTACAGTGTTGCTGTCATTATTACCTCCACAGCTGGTGGCATCATCGATGCTGGAAGCAGGCAGGATCACTACAAGAACAAAATTGGAGGAGGATTGGGAGTGAAGAGTGACTGGTCACCAGGGAAATGGCCCTGGGAGAATCACTGGGGATCAGTCTACGTGTGTGCTGAACACTGGGCTTGTGGTTCTAGGTAGGGGAGCACCCTCTACTGCTCTGGGAAGAACTGGGCCATTCTGCTGTTTATGGGAAGGACTGCTGTCCAAGCATATTTGATGGGGATGCTGGGTACCTGGATTTCTCCCACCTCTCCCTCCCCCATTCTCTTGATGGAGCTGTGTGGGGTTTAGGGTAGCTTTTCTCTTGACGCCCCCCATCCCCCAACCTGACCCCATGCCACAGCCCTCACACAGTAAATAATCTCCCAGAGGAAAGATGATCCCAGTGTGGATGAATCTGGAGTCTTGGAAGTGGGGTAAAAGGGCTATGGATGTCTAGGCATCTGTACCAGGGATCTCACTGTATGGGCAGGTCCGGATCTGGCTGCCATTGCCAAGGCAGGGGGCAGTCTCAGGGTCAAGTTCCTCGCAGTGACGGCTCCGGCTCTGGGTTCCATCCTCACCACACACGCTCCACTCAGTCCACAATGACCAGCCACCTGGGGGCAAGGCTTGGGTCACCCTGCCTTTCATCCATTCTGACCTCCAGCCCAGATCTTCCCTCATTCTCTGCCCCCATCCCCTCCCCATCCCTCATTAGTATGAGGTCTGACCTATAATCTCTTTAAATGTTTTTTTAAAAAAAAATTATTTTTGTCTGTATCCCCAGCATCTCAGTATTAGCACCTAGCAGACACAATATATTCTGGTTGAATGAATGAAGAAATGAATGAAGGAGTGAATGAAAGGTCTAGGAGACACCAAACATCTCCTTATTATGTTATCTGCACAAAAGGATTAGAGCGGGGGCTCAGACATGGTTTGATAATGCTGACTTCCCTTTATCATCTCTCCATATTCCTATAACCCCCATGGTTATTACCTGGGCAGGACTGGGTGGCACAAAGTGCTTCTTCCGTGTGCAACCCAATGCAGATATCTTCACCAGGGGAAGGGGCAGGACTGGTGCATGAACGTGTTCGCTGATAGTGGCCTCCCCCACAGGAGGCTGAGCACGAGGACCATGGGGTCCAGCATGACCAAGCACCTCGCACTGCAAGTCAAGAGAAGACAAATACTGGGAGGAAGGAACTGGGGTATGGAGAAGAGTCCATAAAACATAAGGTTAATAGCATCACAGATTTAGAAGTGGAATGGACTTTAGAGGTCATCTAGTTCAACCTCTACATTTTACAGATGGGGAAACTGAGGCTCAGAGAGATTAAACGGATTTATCCAAAGTCATACAGGTCCTAAGAGACAAAATTGGGATTTGTCCCAAGGTCCTTTGACTCTACTCTTTTAATTCCTTTCTCCTCTTATACTCTCCCTTTCTGTGATCCCTTTTAGATGACCACTCCTCCCACTTACTTGGCCCCAAGAGAATGGTCCCATGTTTAGATCTAGGTTAGGAAAATGTCCCAATATCTCTGGTTAATAATAGGGTATAAATGGGGGAAATCTCAGCTAAGGATCTTGCCTCATATGTCACTGAAAAAAAATGTGAAGCCATATGAGAGCTCCCTCTTCTCCCCTTCTCATCATCCTCTGACATCATCCCCTACCATGTTCTCCTTTACTTCAGTCTCTGATGAAGAAGTGACTCTTCTCCTTGCCAAGGTCACCCCCACCCTCAATCCCATTGCCTCCTGTTGACTCTGACAGATGGCCCCCACTATCATCTTACTCTCTCTAATCTTTAGTCTTTCCCCATCTATTGGCTGCTTCCTTGCTACCTACAAACATGCGCACGTGATCCTCATTTCTCACCTCCATATCTTTGCATAGGCTTGTCCTCCATACCAAGAATGTTTTCTTTTATCACCTCTTGTCGTCCCTGGCTTCCTTCAAGACTCAGCTCAAAAGCCACTTTTTGCAGGAGGCCCTCCCAGTCCCTTGAGGTAGTTGACCCTTCTCCTCTGTTATTACCTTGCTCCCACTCTGTAGGCATGTGCCTATTTATTTACCTGTCATCTCCCCTATTAGAGTGTAAGCTCCTGGAAGGCAGGGACTGGTTTTGTATTTTTACCTTTCCTTGTATCCCCCACACAGTGCCTGGCACAGAGTAAGTGCAGGATTGATCCTTGTTCATAGATAGATTGATTAGGGATTGCAGGGGAGGGAAACTGATGGACATTGTCTAGGAGAGGGAAAGGATTACCTGGGCAGGGCTGGGGGTTGCAGTCTTGATACTCGGTGACATCTCCCACACAGGGCAGGCCCCCGTTTCGGGGCTCTGGGTTTGTGCAGGTTCTCTTCCGATTCCGGAAACCTAATTCACAGTCTCGAGAACAGGATGACCAAGGTCCCCAGGCTGCCCAGCCCCCACTCACCACATGGGGGGGCATTATTTCCACTCCGAAGGAGATCCTCCACTAGGGCTAGGAGGAAAGAGGACAAGTCACAAAGAGAGGGGGCCCTGCCCAGCCAAAGCTCCACACAACCATCACTATCCCCCCCCAACCTAACCTGAGATGAGAGATCAGGTCAAGAGGCCTGTCACTAACTTGCCTTAGTGACCTTGGATAAGTCACTTCTCTGGCCTCACTTCTCTATATACAATGATGGGACTGGACTTACAGGTCCTGACAGTCTGCGACTCATTCTCATGACCTTCTTCCCAACTACACCTCCTTGGCCTCCCCACCCTGAAATTATAATCTGTCTGACCCCTTATCCCTGGAGAGAAAGGGGGTTGGGGAGGGGTAGGTGGGAGGGGGAGCATCTGGAGAGCCCTGGTCTAGAGGAGAGAAGAAAGGCTGCACCATCAGTGTCGCAGGCTCCAGAGCCGTCTGCAGGGCAAGAGCGGGTCTCCGTCCTCTTCCTCCCAAACTGAAGGCCGTGAGGGTCAGGGAGCGGGGCCCGGCACGTGAAACGGAATCGCTGCTCTTGGCGGGCCCCTCCCTGGGTCACATTCACTGGGAGCCACGGCGTCCATGGGGTGTTCCTTCGTACCTCTGGGCAGCCATCAGGGTTACATGTCTTGTACTCCTGCCCGAGGATGAGAAGAGGGGACATTGTCACACAGGGACCACCACCTCTTGAATTGTGGACCAAGAACAAGGAGACTCAAGCTCTACTCCTAGCTGTGCATGACCCTGGGCAAGTCATTCCCCTTCCTCAGATTTCAACCTCCTCATCTGTGAAATAATAGGGCCTTTTATCAAACAACCAACGATAAACACGAAAAATTCAGAGAAACTTCAGAGGCCTTGCATGAACTGATGCAGAGAGAAGGAAACAAAACCTGGAGAGCAATTTCCATAGCGGCCCCCAAAATGTGAAGGAAGAACAATGAAAGACTTCAGAAATCTGATCAATGCTGTGTCCAGTGATGACTTCAGAGTACTGATGATGCACTTGGCAGAGAGCTGGTAGGCCACAAGTGAGGAATGAGGCATCAATTTCCACACATGGCCAAGTATAGATTTGTTTTGTGCCATTGTATGGCCCTGGAAATGGAAGAAGGGTGGGAGGCCTAGGCCTTGCCTGGAGTATGGGGTGGGAAGCACTCACTTGGAAGTGAAAGTGATAAAGAAAAAAGAGAAAAGAACGTCAATAAAACTTAAAAAAGAAAAAAACAAGAGAAGGGTTTGATTAGACTAGATGATCCTTCCAGCCCTGATAGTTTGCAGCTATGATGCCATCCCTGAGTCTCACCCTTGGCCTCCTTTCCCAGTCCATCTTCCTCTACTTACCACACTACAGCCTGGGCAGGAATTCCCATTTTCACAGGTTCGGTGCCTAGAATGGACTCCACCCCCACAGTTGCTGCTGCATTTGCTCCAGGAGCCCCAGGTAGCCCAGAAAATGGGGACAGGGCAGGGGTTATTCTCATTGCAGAACCTGGGGAGAGGTGTGGATGGAAGGATAGCACCTCCAATGAGAGACCACCCTTGAGGCGTAGACAGTGACAAAAGGCTAAAGAGATTACTCAAAGTCAGGTGGGAAATAGCTGGTACTATGGGGCCCTGGGCAACCATGTGGCATGGGGCAGAGGGGGGGATCAGGAAGAGCTGAGTGCAAATTCAGCTTCAGATTCTTATCTCTGTGGCCCTATGGTACTCAACTTCTGTCTGCCTGAAATTCCTCATCTGAAAAAAGATAATAAATAATAACATCCATCTCCCAGGATGCTGTGAGGATTAAATCAAATAATATTTGTAAAGCACTTAGGACAGTGCCTGGCACAAGACAGGCATTTTAATAAATCCTTCCTCCCTTCCTCCTTCCTTCCTTCCCTCCCTCCTTCCTTCTTTCTTTCCTTCCTAGGACCTGGAAACTTCCACCAATGCAAAAATTCCCTGCACGGCCATCCGGGCTCTACTTGAACAACGGAGCTCTGTCCCTCCCTCACTCACCGCTCCTCCCGGCTTTTGCCCACACAGATTCGGCCCCCGTGCCGGGGGACAGGGTTGCTGCAGCTCCGCTGTCGGACCTGGAAGCCAATTCCACAAGAGGTGCTGCACAAAGCCCAAGATGACCATGGGGTCCATGCCCCATTTCTGGTGGAGACAAGAGGATACATCTCATTCATCAAAATTCTATCCAGAGACATTGTTTCTACCATTAGAGTATAAGCTCCTTGAGAGTAAGGATTGTTAAATTCTTATTACCTGTATCCCCAGTGCCTAGCACAGTGCCTGGCAAACAGTAGGAACCTAATAAATGTTTGTGGATGAATCAAATGATCCTTTAGCCCTGCATTTCGCAGACCTACTTTCTCTCTGGGACAAGACAACTGATGCTGCTAGGGTATCTCTCAAATTTCACTAAAAAGCTAATTAGTGTAAGAGAAACTGTGACGCAGTTAATAGGGAGATAGATGCCCATCCTGAGGTCAAGCTCCAGTGGTAGAGTTTGGTGACTGATTCAAGGATACAGAAAAAAGACCTGGACAGGAAATTTGTCTGTCTATCTCCAGTTCTGTCCAGGGGAGGGGACATTTGGCATTGGGAGAGCTATCCCAGTTTTGCAGACAGAAGTGTCCCTCATGGTGGAAAAGGTCATCAGGTCACCAAAGTTTGACCAAAATATATACTTAAAGAAAGTCTAACTTTGCTTCCCCAAATAATTTTATGCGTCACAGGAATCAACATGACATAGGGAACATATCACTGGGTCTAGAGTCAGGTAATCTGGATTCAAATGCAACCTTTGAGACTTATTAGCTATGCGGCCACAGGTAAGTCATTGAATCTCTGTGTCTCAATTTTCTCAACTATAACATGGGGACAATACTACTTGGACAGCTTATAACATAAGAACTGACATAAAGTGGATGTCATAGTCCACTGTGGAAATCTTTTTTTTGTGTAGAAAACTGTCTGTGAACCTTAAATATAAGTATATAATATTAATAGTAAACATATGATATTATATAATAAAAATAATACAACAAATTACGACATATAATTATATATAATATATAATTATATAATAAAACAAACAACAATATAATCAATGTAATTACAATATAAATACAAAAATTTATAAATAAACATAAATATGAGTTCTTATTTTAATTTGAGTCTCCTGAGTGGAGTGGTCAGTGCCAAACCATCCTAGTTCTTAGACCAGGTATAACCCTCCTGTAAATCAATCAATCAATTGCGTTTTGGTTTATCAATTAGTCTTTTGAGAGTGAATCCAGAATGAATCAATGCCAAGAACCACTTCACCTCTGAATAAACTGATAAAGCTGAGTGGCCGCAGTGCTGAGGACAGAACCCTGGGGTTGGGGCGCCCCCTGCCAAGGTGGGGCTGGCTACTTTGTAAAGCTCAGCCTGAAGCAGCCCGCTGGCTCCTCTCATCTTCATACTTCCATTAGGACATCCGGCAACACTTTTCTTCCTCTATCCCAGCGCACTCCTCTCATTTCTCGGAGTCACTCCCCAACCTGGCAGTCCTGGGGCAGCTTCCCTGGGGAAGACTGCGTGTCTCTTACATACCTGGAGCAGTTGGCAACGTGGATGGTAGGTCCAGGGCAGGCTCGTCCCCCACAGCGGGGACGGGGGGAGTCACAGGCTCGGGCTCGGCACTGGCAGGAGCCCGAGTTATCTCCGTCCACATGCTCACAGGGTTGCCACGGAGACCATGGCCCAAAGCCCCCGTCCCACGTCAGGTTCCTCACCTACAAAGAAACGACGGGACTCGGGACCCTGCGCTAAGCAGGGAAGAAGGGAGATTGAGGGGGAAGAGAGGAAGAAGGGGTCAAGGGACAGGTGCAGAGTGATGGCCCAGGTGCGCGGGTCGGGTCACGAAGGTCGTGCACTTCCGTTGGGATGGGGAGAACCGGGGTCACAGGTAGGGAAGAAGGCTTCTCACCGGACAAGCTGTGATATTCTGAGTCCAGAGGCTCATGTTGGCACTGTCCTCCAGCGTGCTGCAACGTTGCTGCTTCCTGTCCCAGCCGCAGTACGGGTCCCGAGCCCCCAGGCACTCCCTGAAGGACGAGAACCCTGAGACGTAGTCCTTCGCCAAACCACGGCTCTCACCACCCCTCCGCCCCCATCTCTAGACACTCCCATTTGAGTAATGTCCCTGTGGAAAACAGCCGTTGATCACACAAAACTGAAAAATGTTTGCACAAACAAAACTAATGCAGTTAAAATTAGAAAAGAAATAGGCAACGAGATGGTGCCGTGAATAGAGTGCTGGGCTTGGAGTCAGGAAGATCAAGGTTCAAATCCAGCATCAGACACTTAATAAATGTGTGATATTAAGTAAGTCACTTAACCTCTGTTTGCCTCAGTTTCCTCAACTGTAAAAAAGGGATGATAATTGTACCCACCTCCCAGGATTGTTGTGAGAAATAAATGAGATAAAATTTGTAAAGTGCTTAGCACAATACCTGGCACATAATTGGCCATATATAAATACTAGCTGTTATTTTTAACTGGGGGAAAAACCCCAACAACTTTGCATTAAGTCCCTCTGATAACAGCCTGATTTCCAAGATATAATAAGGAACTGATTCAAATATATAGGAATGACAGCCATTACCCAATAGATAAATGGTCAAAGGATGAAATTTAGTCAAACCACCAATAATCAGACAAATGCATGTTAGAACAACCTTGAAGTTCCATCTCACACCTATAAGATCAGCAGAGATGACAAAAAAGGAAAATGGCAGTGTGGCAAAGATATACATCAGTTTAGTCATTCTAGAAAGCAACTTGAAACCATGCCCAGAAAGACACTAAACAGCGTGTTTCCTTTGACCCAGAGATCCCACTGCTAGGCTTATACCCCCAAAGAAACAAAAGAGGAAAAGGACCCATATGCACAAAAACATTTAAAGCAACTGTTTTTTCTCGTGCCAAAGAAACCAAGGAAGTGGTCATCACTGGAGAATGGCTGAACAAGTTATGGTATGTAATGTAATGGATTACTCTTGTGCCATAAGAAATGATGAAGGAGAAAACTTGTTTCAGAGGAATCTGGGAAGAGTTGGATGAACTGATGCAGAGTAAAGTGAGCAAAACAAGGAAGACAATCTATACAGTAAAACATTTTAAGGAAAAATCAACTTTGAAAACTTCAATCAACACAATGATCGACCATGTTTCCAGAGGACCAATGAGGAGGCACCCGTCTCCTGAACGTAGATGGACTCAAGGTGCAGAATAGACATACAAGGCCATCATATGGATTTGTGTTGCTCAGCTGTGTATATCGGTTACAAGGGCTTTGTTTTTCTTTTTTCATTTTGGGGGAGGGGTTGGAAGAAGGGGATTTAATAATAGTGTTGCAAAAAAAAAAAACCAAGCAGAAAAGAGTGAAGCATTTTTTTTAATGTACAGAAGAGAACAGAAGGTTAGAAGGAAATAAAGACAAGCAGGACAGTTTTGATCATGCTGAATTACTGTGTACTTATTTTTTTTAAAGCAAGCTATACATAATAGAAATTTGTGGTTTCACACATAAATTCTCTTTTTCTATACAGATTTTCATTTCTTTTTGGTATTTATTAAGTTTGAAATTAAAAGATAAAATTTTAAAAAAATGCTGGATGGTCCCACACATATCTGGATGCCTACCCCACCTACCACTGAGCCAAATTCCTTTCAATTAGAGCCACCAGGGAAGAAGACAGTGCTATGAAGTGGAAAGAGACCTGTGAATGCCAGCTAGAAGCAACCACTTTCTGCCCTGAAATATGGCACTCCTCGGAATTATAGCCTTGAGCTCTGTCCTGCATCACCTGTTACCTCATAGACACTTCTAACTGGATGTCCCAGCGACACCTCAAACTCAACATGTCCAGAACTGAACTCATTGTTGTTCCCTCCAAACCGTCCCCTCTTCCAAGCTTCCTATGTCTGTGAAAGGCACCGCCATCTTCCAGTCTCCCAGATTCATAACCTTAGTATTATCTTCAACCCTCCTCATTCCACATAAATTCTATCTTCATGGCATCTCTGATATCTGACCCCTTCTCTCTACTCACACATCTACCATCCTAATTCAGCCTTTCATTACAAACTGCCCAGATTATTCCAACAGCTTCTTACTGGGTCTCTTTGCTTCAAATTTCTCATCACCTTATACCCTGCTATCAAAGTAGTTTCCCTTAAGTACAGCTCTGAACCATGCCACTCCCCTATTCAATCAATTTTGTTGGCTCCCTATTGCTTCTTTTTAAAAAATTTTTATTTATTTTGAACTGAATTTTAAAATTCATTTTGAAATGAATTTTATTCATTTTCATTTTGAAAAAGAACATTTCCACGTACACAGTATAACATAAGAACAGTATTCAACATAAAACCATAAATTTCCATTTCACAATTTTTTAAAAAAACCATGTAATCAATACTACACATCACTTTCAAAGCTGCTCTGCTTTTCTGTGCTTTCTTCTAAGTTTTCTTTTGTTCTCTGCTGTGCACTTTTTATTTTTTTCTCCCTGTTGCTTCTAAGATTAAATAATAATAATAACTCCTGTTTAGCTTTTGAAGCCCCCTCAACCTGGCCCCAACCTACCTTTCCTGCCTCTTTGCAGTGTTAGCTAGCCCAAATGTAGCCCCATCCCTCCCACTATGTGATCCAATCAAGCTGACACATAACATTCCATCTCCCACCTCCATGATTTTGCCCTGGGTATCCCCCATACCTGAAATGCACTCCTTTCTCACCTCTACCTCAAAGAGTCCTTCTCTTCCTTAAGACTCAATTCAAGGGGTAGCCAGGGGGTGCAATGGATAGAGTACTGGCCCTGGAGTCAAGAGGACCTGAGTTCAAATGTGGCCTCAGATACTTACTAGCTGTGTGACCCTGGGCAAGTCACTTACCCTTGATTGCCTCCAAAAAAAAAAAAAAGACTCAATTCAAGCACAACCTTTGGCATAGAGCTTTTCTTGAAACCAATAAGAAACTAGTGTCCTTCGTATTTCACCACTCTGTATTTATCTGCATTTATTCACTTAGATTTCTTTTGCATGCCTTTGTTTTCCCATTAGAATGAAAACTCCTTGAAGGGAGAGATTGTTTCCTTCTTTGTATTTGTATTCCCAGCACCTAGCATAGTGACTGATAAATAGTAGGTGCTTAATAAATGCTTGTCCATTGATCACTTCACCCCTGTCACACAGTGAGTAAATGTCTCAAGTGGGATTAGAACCTAGGCCTTTTCTAATTCTAGCACTCTCTCCACATACTGCCCCTAATTCATATCCTGGTAGTTTTTCCTTGATCCCCTTTTCCACTGGGGTTCCTTTATTATATATTTTTTTCCTTTTTGGAAAAGAAAATTAATTTTCACCTGATGGGCTTCAGCCAGGAGAGAGACACTGTCTATAGACATGGATTAAATCAAGATTTATGGCCCATCACCACGCACAGCAAGGAAAGGAGAGAATACAGATCAGAAGTATGAGGGGAGAATCCTCTGTCTCCAAGCTACTCACTGCTAATACCTATGAAGAACTGGGAACGTGGGACACCTGCCCCCAGACCCTCAAAATGAACTGCTCTGGCCGGGTCAGGATGGGGTTGGGTGCTCCTGACGCTTCATTGCAAGGGAGACCAACGACGCAGGAGGAATGTGATAGGAAGATAACAAAGGACAGGCCTTGAGATCAGACATAAGATCATAGATTTAAAGCTGAAACAGACCTTAGAGGCCAAGTCCAGACCCTTCATTTTACAGGTGAGGAAACTGAGGGCCAGAGAGTTAAAGTGTTTTGCTCAGGGTCACACAACTAGTAAGTATCTGAGATAGAATGTGAACCCAGATCTGCCTGATTCCAAGTCAAGAACTCTATCCACCGCAACTTCCTGGTGAGGAGGATTATGACCAGGGGTACACTGGAGTCACCTTGAACTGGGCTCAAGAGAGCCCTTGTTAAATGTTCAGTATGTGAACCTTTATACTCCAGAAATCTACAAACACTAGAAATCAGGGTTTGATTTATTGTCTTGTTGATTGCCTGGACTTAAGAAGGTGATGGAGGAGATGAATATTATATAATTTATTAATAATTAATAACAACAATTAGTGTCAATATAATATATACTAGAAACAATATCATCATATAATAATACCAAAAACACTATTGTATGATATAGTAAATAATGATAGTCAAAAATTAAATAATTAAAAAGTTAGTAATCCAAATTAAACTTAGAAGTATGTTGTGCCTACATTGCCTTTCCTCTGGAGAGCTGATTGTTAAGCATTTTGCCAGCACTGCATCACCAGCTGCCTCGTGTGTACTTCTAACTGGATGTCCCAGAGACATCTCAAACTCAACACATCCAGAACTGAGTTCATTATTGCTCCCTCCAAACCCTCCCCTTCTCCAAACTTCCTATTTCTGTTAAAGGAACCGCCATTGGTGGGACCCGTGGGAAGAGGGACACTGCTGTGGTCCTCAGCCTTGTTACTCTGAATCTCTATCTGTAGCTCCCACTGCTCCCAAAGAGCCACATGACTATTGTTCCATGTGCCCTGTGGAATCTGGTGTATGGGTTTGAAATCAGATGGCCTGAATTAGAATTCTGACTCAACCATCTAACACCTGAGTCTCTTAAGTAAGCCGTAAAATGAGAGGGTTGTGCTTGATGACTTTTAAGATCCCTTCCAACTCTGTGTCTCTGTCCTTTGAAGTGCTGCAGCTCGTACGTGCATGAGTCACAAGGGGCTGCCACTTTGGAGTTCTAATACTGCTGTGGTAGCTTCCTTCTCTCCTACGAGATGTTCTATCATAGATTTAGAGCTGGAAGAAACCTTAGAGGCAGCAGCATAGCCTAGCACAGTGCCTGGCATACAGTAATTGCTTAATAAATGTTCCCTCACCTTGCAACGCCCAACTCTTCATTTTACAGATGAAGAACTAAGTTCTAGAAGTTACATGATTTATTCAGAGTTGCACACTTGGAATAAAAGGGAGACACAGGCTTTGAACCCAGATCCAGGCCCTCCCAGTCCAGTTGTTTTTCCCCAGTCCCATGCATGGATAATCAATTGGTCTCCTACAGGATATAATATCATCTCTGTTTCCTGATCACTCACTAGCTGGTTCCTGGGTCTTGGTATGAGACATGTATAGAAAGAAGTCTAGCCTCCTTGTTGTGGTAAATGATTTGCATAGATTAAAGTTTTCTGAGAAATGGTGATTACTTTGGAAACATCCTTATTCACCATGGTGTCCATTTTCCTATTTTTTCAGCATGAACAATTTGTTTAAATAGGTTGTATTGGAGCAGCAATGATTTACACATCTTTCTTCCGCTTGTCATCTTTTCTTTTAATATGGTATTTATTTTGACCTTTGCTCTAACTAGTCAATGATTAGATGACCTCACAGAAATTTTATTCTGAGAAGTACGAGGTACATTGATTCATGCAAATTTTTTATTAATTTTACTTTGAACTAAAAATGTTCATCTTCTTTCTAATTATTTTTTTGCCTTATGGTTAAAAAAAAAGGCACTGGGTCAATTGATGCAACTTTGTCCTTTGAGGTATTTTAAAATTCATGTCCTTCTATTGTTTCAATAGTATTTTCATGTCTATTAAGAGACAACCAGGGTGGCTAGGTGGCGCAGTGGATAGAGAGCAATGGGCCTGGAGTCAGGAAAACCTGAATTCAAATCCAGCCTCAAACACTTACTAGTTGTGTGACCCTGGGCAAGTCACTCCACGCTGTCTGCCTCAGTTTCCTCATCTGTAAAGTGAGCTGGAGAAAGAAGGAAATGGCAAACTACTCCAGTATCTTTGCCAAGAAAACCCCAAATGGGGCCATGAAGAGCTGGACAAGGCGCAACAATAACAATAAAAGACAACCAGTTTCATTTTTTGTGATGCTCCTCATCCAATACCTTCAGGTTTCCTCTCAAAGAAAGTATTCATGACCTACAGAGACATAAGACTTACATTTGATCTCTTCCATCTCTTGATCCAAACTCATGTTTTCCAATATATTTTTTTGCCGCCCTCCCTGGCATCCAGCTTTAAATCTACATCACAGGGTAGCGAGGCGTAGGTCAACTTGGTTTGGAGGAGCTTGTTAGGTTTTCACAGAACTTACTTATTGGTTCATTCTCTTCAATGGATGTTTATGAATGAGAAGCAGTTATGTTTGTAACCGTGTCTTTGCTCAGATCTCTTGGGAGCACTTACGAGGCAAGATGATCGAGCATTCTACAAGACGATGTCTCTTGTTGCCTTGATGTATAAGAGGAGCCCGCATCTGCCAACACCTTTGCTCACCTCTTCGAGAAATGAGATAGGTGCTGATTCTCAACTCTGAGAGGTAGATACTGCTTTTAAGCTCCATTCTACAGATGAGGAAACTGAGGACTACCTGCAGACTACCTGCAAGAAATTTATTTATGCCTTTGGATCTAATTTACATTTTATACATTTATACATTTCATTCATTGTGTCACACACTGACAAGATAATGTCAATATGGACAGGGTTCATCTCTTCCCGTAGAACATCAAATTGGACTCATGAAAAGTGTCAACAGTCAAAATAATATTTGGAGATGGTCTGAGGGCATGTGTGATTATCCCCCTCCCCACTTTCTGCCCCTCTGCCACTGTCCCTTTGGAAGCAGAAGAGTACTGCCCAGAACGGATCACTAAATATTCATCATTTGGTGACCAAATTTCTGAGGATGACTCTCTTCATCCTTAACTAGGCTGGTCCGTGGACTACTTAACTCATCCCTGCTCCCTCCTCTAGGTGAGGAAGGGAGAACAGCTACTCTCAGATCTCGATAAAGACTCCAAAAAAGCAAAGCAAATCTGTGAGGGTCACCCATTCTATAGAAGAAGTGGAGGGAAATAACAATAATAACGTTATATATAGTACTATATATACTGTATATATATGTACATATATATACATATATACATACATATATACATATATACACACATACATATATATATATATATGTGTATATATATGTGTATGTACTATATATAATCTAATCTATAGGTACTATATATAATCTAATCTTCCCAACAGCCCTATCAGGTAGGTGCTGTTATAATCCTCATTTTTACAGTTGGGGAAACTGAGGCAAACAATGGTCAAGTGACTTGCCTAGGGTCACACAGTAAGCATCTGAGGCTGGATTTGAACTCAGGTCTTCTTGACTCCAGGTCCATGATTTTATCCATTGTGCCACCTAGCTGCCCAGTTAACATTTATATACCACTTTAAGGGTTTTTTGAGGGGGAGGTAATCAAGGTTAAGTGACTTGCCCAGGGTCACACAGCTAGTTAGTGTCTTAGGCTGGATTTGAACTCAAATCCTTCTGACTTCAGAGCTGATGTTCCTTCTACTGCGCCACCTAGCTCTCTCACTTTAAGTCTTACAAAATGCTTTACAAACATCTTATTTGATCCTCTTAGCAACCCTGTGAAGTAGGTACTGCTACAGATTTTACAGATGAGGAAAGTGAGATAGAGGTTAAGTGACTTGTCCAGGGTCACACAGCTAGTAAGTGTCATGGGTAAGATTTGAACTCTAGTCTGCCTGTCTCCAAATCTAGGATTCTATCCATTACATCACTTAGCTACCTCCTGTTTGGATTTCAAAGGCTCCTCCTCCCCCCCTTTCACTGAGATGGAGTGAATGAATAAAAGTAAACAGAATGAATTCAAGATATCCAGAGCCTTAGTGACAACAACTGATAACATTGAGAAGAACTGGAAAATAATGTCTGTTGCAGCTCAGCGGACGCCAGAGCTCCTGCCCCCCATACCCGTTGCCCTTGGTGCCCCGGCTTACCCCTGGGTGCGGTAGGCGGTGCACCTCTCCAGCGGGATCCTCAACACCCCATCACTCAGCCCCACAAAGAGCGCTCGGGCACTGTGAAGGATGCGCAGGCTACGCAGAGGCTCCCGACGCCCTGGAGGTAGCACCTGAAGTTCCTCCAGGTAGCAGCCGTGGAGGCTGCGGCTGGTCGTGGACAGCGCCTTGAGGACTGTGCCTGACTCTGAGAGGGAGGCAGAGACGACTGTCAGATTTCTCTAACCTCTACCTAGAACTTCTTGAATGAGGGAAGGGGCATTGCCTAATAGCATCCTCTCTGCTCTGAGATCAACTGACGTGCCCACCCATGTGCAGATGGAGAGGGAGAGGTTGCTCTAAGGACGGGTGCCGAGTGAAGCAGATGCCTCACACTCCTGCCCACATGCACACTGCATCTGCGTGTCTCTCTGATAGAGACACTGGATCCCTTGGCTTTCCCCCAGGAACTTTGCCTTCTTAGGTGGAGAGTAGGGCTCAGAACTCTATCAATCAGATTTTTAACAAGTGTATTAGGGACTTTTCCTCATTGCTTCCCAAGCACAAACATCACTGTTTGTAAGGGCACCAGAATCCAAAGCTGCATGCAGGTCCAAGACCCATTCTTTGCAAACTCCCATGGTCCTGGTCCACTAATCAAAGACCTCCCAAATCATTGGGTTCCAAGTGGACTACAGTCTCTCAAAATCAGTCACTATTCCTCATGGATGTATACTGACTCTCAGTCACACAATACATTTGTTCATTCTCTCTCTCTCCTCTCTCTCCCTCTCTCCTCTGTCTCATTCTTTCTTCTCCCTCTCCCTCTCCCTCTCTTTCCCTCGCCTCTCTTTCTTACCCCCTCCTTCTCTCCCTCCCTGTCTCTCTCCTCCCCCCTACTCCCTCCCCTTCTCTCTCCTTATTTTCTCCCTCTCTCCTCCCTCCCTCCTTGTCTCTCTTTTCTCTCCTTCCCTCCCTCCCTCCTTTTTCTTCACTCCCTCCTTTCCTCTCGCTCATTATTCTCTCCCTCCCTTTCTTTCTCCTTTCCCTCCCTCTCTCTTTACTTATTCTCTCACTCTTTTCTTTTCTCTCCTCTCTTCCTTCCCCATCTCTCTCTCCTCTCTCCTTCAGTCCCCTTTTCTCCCTCCTTCCCTGTCTCTCTCTCCACTCCCTTCTGCCTCTTTGATGCAATCATTGATTCCCACACATCACAAACACCCCTATCTGGGTCTCACTACCATTGAGAATGACTCTGGGTCACCATCATCCAAGGAACATAGCAACTGTTTAAATAGTCCAAGGGTGTGGTTCATTATGTCAGAGAGCTGCACAAATATTGCATCTCTGCAAAGTCGTCTGCTTTCCCTGGAGATAGCCTTAGCACAGAGGAGGGTCTCACCGGTGCCAATGTAAAGCACATGGTAGAGGGTGTCCTTGCCCTGCACGAGATCCACCACCAGGTGAGAGAAGCGGACACTGTCCTGTGTGACACAGGGGTCCGGGGTCACGGGCTGAACCACCTCACTCATCAGGAACAGACGCTGGGCGTCCTGAAGACTCCTCTCTGTCAGGTTCTCATTGGGACCAACATCTCGCAAGGTCCCACACTGAGAATCAGAAGTGGAGAGTCACATACCTGTAAGTCCCACTCAGGACCCTCACAGTTATCCACACCCAGCCCCAACCCTCCCTGCCTCCAATTCCGTGAATCTCCAATATGGTCCTTTTTGAGACCCAAACAATCTAGCCTATCAGGAGGATTCTGGATAAATTATCCACAGCCTCAGTCCTGGCCAGTTTTACCATAAATCCCCTTCAGCTTAATGAAGTCCACCTATCATCCCCCAGGCAATGATATCATCCCATCGGTAGATAAGAAAAAATGAGCCAAGGGAGATGAGGAAGGAGTGCCTAAAAACTAGGTTAGAGGTTGTGATTTTACATAACAGGGAGGAGGTAGTAGGAAGAGAGGGGAAAATATCTAGAGGCCAGGAAAATTCATTTGTCCTAAGATAGCAGAGAGTAGGCTGCCAAATATTCTGTTGTCAGACCCATTCCTCTACTTTCTACAGACACTGAAAGAGCTAAGCCTCTGTATCCCTACCTCTGAGTAGGGGCTGGAAATTTGGATGGGAATCAGAAAAATCTTAGTCCTAATCTTGACTCTGCTACTAACAAATTGTGAAACCTTGGACAAATCATTTCACCTCTCTGGGCCTCAGTTTCCCCATCTGTAAAATGAGGGGGTTGGATTAGATGAGCTCTAAGATGCCTACAGAGCCAACATTTTATATACGTCTATGATTCTTATAGTCCTCCAGCCAAACCAATTAAGCTATTCCCCCCTTTCTTCCCTACCAACTCCATTCCTTTCTTCACCCAGATGGAGGAGATGACACTCCCATTAAAAATGGGCACTGATGTGCCTTAGTCACCCAGTTCTGGCCACCTTAGGATACTCACTTTTGCTCCAGTAAATTAAAAATGGCCCCTTCCCCATGACTCCCAATAACCAGGGAGAAAGAGTTTAGGGATTGCATTTGAGGTGGGTGTGATTGGAGACGAGGGGTGGGAGTGGGGACCAGAAGGGCAACCATACCTGAAAATTGGGGATAGGGTTGGCAATGGGGAGCCAGGCAGCCCTTGGATTCTCCTGGTAGCGGAAGGGGCCATTGAAGGCCTGGGAGATGGCACTGAGGTTGAAGGCGCAGACAGCAGAAGCAGCGATGCTATTTCTGGAAGGGAGAGGAGGTGGGTGGAATTCACTGCAGGCATGTCTCCCTCTCCCCTTCCCTTCCATGTTGGGATTAAAAAGTCAACTGTGAGTATTTAGTAAGCATTTAGTCCTCTCCTGCCTGCTCTACTATTTGGGCATGGCAGGGTGGGGGTGAGTGGTGGGGCTGGATCTTCGAAGGTCGCGCCAGTTCTGGCCAACTGAATCTGGTCCAGTGATAGACCATGTGTCTGTATGTGAGACTTTTGAGAGTGGAGGTTATCTTTTGTCTTTCTTTGTATCTCCAGTACTTAGCACAGTACCTGGTATGTAGTCGGTACTTAATAAATGCTTTATTGATTGACAGACACAAATATACATATATGTGTTATATGGATGTGTGTATACACACATATACATATATGTGTTGTGTATATATGTGCGTATATTTATATATATATGAAATATGTGCTTGTTTATGTGCATTTCTCTCCCAATAGAATATAAACTCCTTAAGAGCAAGGTTATGTTTTATTTTTTTTCTTTGTATCATTAGGGCATAGCACCATGCCTGACACATAGTAGGCACTTAATAAACGCTGACTGGCTGGCTGAAAAGCCGAACACACACAGTCTTATCTTGGAAGTTCCTGGTCTAATGGGTAAAACAGGACATAGAGGATATAGCATAGATTGAGAGCTGGAAGGGACCTCAGGACCACTAACCCAATCTTCTCATTCTACAGATGAGGAAACAGGCTCGTCATCAGAAGGCTGGCCACAGTGGATAATGAAGACTGTGTACATAGAATGCTGGGGTGATGCTCTTCACTGGTGGCAGGGTACTCAGACCAATGAAAATCATGACTCCTTTCAATAATTAAGTACGTGGCCAACACCCACTAAGCTAGGTGTTGCCCCACATAGTTGCCTCTGAGGAACATGCACAGTCCTATCTGGGAAGTTCCCAATCTAATGGGTAAAACAGAATATAATGAATACATCACAGATTTAGAACTGGAAGGCGCCTCAGAGAACACCTAAGCCAATCTCCTCATTCTACAAGTGAGGAAACTGAGACCATGGATCAAAAAGTATTTAGTGAGGCCCTATACTAAGAGGGGGACAGAAGTCATATGAAATAGTCCCTGCCCTCAGGAAACTTATACTCTAGATGTACAATTACATGAAACAATATAATTAAACGATGATTTTATAGTACACGTCCTTGGGAGAGGTCAAAAAGCATTTGCTAGTGCACTCTTTTAACTCCTGAAACTACATTGTATAGTTTTTCCCCCCACTACTTGGGCACAAGTCACATTCCCCCACAGAATGGCAGCTCCTTGAAGCCAGGGAATATTTGATGTTTTGTCTTTGAACCCCCATTGTCTAGCCTGGTGCCTTGCATAGAGCAGGCATTTAATAAATGCTCATTGATGTAAATTAAATTACTTAACTTCTACTATGTACCCAGTACCAAGGTACCCCAGCTGTTGGGGAGTCATAGCCAGGGCTTTGTCTTTTCACATCGTTGAGTGTAAAGGGGTGTGTGTGTGTGTGTGTGTGTGTGTGTGTGTGTGTGTGTATCCACTGAGCCACCTAACCACCATATATAAATATATTTCTATATTTTACATTTGTTTAGGTTGTACAAAAGGCCTTCTATGTATTATCTCATTTGATCAACAGCTCTTGGGAAGTAGATGTTATTATCTCCATTTTACAGATGAAGAAACTGAGGCTGAGAGGGCTAGGTAAACTTGCTCAAATCTCACAGCTAATAAATATCTGGTGCAGGATTCAAACTCTGGTCTTCCCCACTCCAAGTCCACTGGTCTATCCTCCCCTGTGTCACTCAGCTGCCTCTGCTGAGAAGCAGCCCATACATCACTTTCCTAGTATCAGACTTTGACAGCTTGAAGGCATCAGATATCATCTACTCTACCCTTCCACCCCCATTTAGCTAATGAGGCCCAGAGGCAAAGTCAGGTGTCACACAATTGTGTGATTTGTCCTTCCTTCTCAAAGAGGACCATGCCATCAGGGAGGTGAACTGGATTTTAAGTGAGGGAGGGCTGTGCAAGGTCACCAGCCTCATTTTCTCCTCTGGAGCCATCTGGGTCCAGTGGCAAGATCTAGAGCAGGACAACTGGAGGTGGCCAAGGATGCAGTAGGGGACCTCTGTAATAGTAGTTACCAAAGAAGGAATGACTAGAAGCCAGGGTTCCCGACTCTTGGACTGCTATCACAGATATTGCAGAGTCTTAGCATAAGGAAGACCTTCTTAATGAATATGAAAGGTGGTCAGTGGACTAGGCTGCCAAAAGAGGGACTGGGCACCCCTTTGCTTTAAGTTTCTTTTTTTAATTATTATTTATTTATTTTTAACATTTAAAAAAAATTGAGTTCCAAATTCTCTCCCTCCCACTTTAAGCCTTTAGTTGAAGGCTGGATATCTTGGATGTTGAAAGATGGGTTCCTCCCCGAGTGGGAAATTGGTTTGAATGATCTCTCAACTCCCATCCAACTCTAAAACTCTGTGGTACTGTGCTTCCATAGTAAGCAATTCACATACACGTCTATGATTAGAATTATGTATTCTTATAGTTCTACACAGACAAAATTATTCCTGTTTTTTCTAATTTCGTGTCTATGATCAAAGTCAACATCTTCATACCATACAGGGTTTCATTTTCATCCTATATGCACATGTACATGATAACTCACATATTAAAAGGAAAAGGTCTTTGATCTGGCTCTTTGACCACTGTACCCTTTCTGTCCCTATCCCCAGCAGAGCCTGGGGCCAAAGCTCCAATCAGGAAGCCTGGAAGAGCAGGAAGAACACTGGATTGAGAGTCAAAAGACCTGGGTTCAAATCCTAGCTCGGCTATTTGCTAGCTGTGGGACCACAGACCTTACACTTCAGTTCTCTGTGCCTCAGTTTCCTCATCTATAAGGTAAGGAGGTTGAATGGAATGATATCTAAGATCTCACACTGGTTCTGAAATCCTAGGAGTCTTTATTCCCCTTACTGGCCTACCATCATCCAGGTCTCTTACTAGGTTGACTGTTTTGTTTTCCTAATATTTCCTTGTATCCTGGTATAAATGTAACTTAGTCCTAGTGAATGATAGTATTAGAGATAGGGACTGAACCTGGGATTTCACTGGTATAAGGAGCTCCCAGGTGAGGAAACTCCCTCCACCAATCAGGGCTGACATGTTCCCTGAAACTCATGATCCTAGAGAGTTACCTGGAATAGAGGTGTCAAACAGGCCTGCCTGGAGTTGCCTTGGAACCAGATTAAAATGTAATTGGAAAATATTTAGCAAAATAAATAAAAAACAGAATTATGTTTTGTTGTTAGTCAGTCATTTAAGTCTCTTCATGACCCCATTTGAGGTTTTCTTGGCAAAGGTACTGGAATGGTTTGCTATTTTCTTCTCTAGCTCATTTCATAGATGAGGAAACTGAGGCACACAAGGTTAAGTGACTTGCCCTGGGTAACACAGCTAGTGTCTGAGGCCAGATTTGAACGCAGGAAGATGAATGTTCCTGACTCCAGGCCTGGCACTCTATTCACTGCATCACCTGCCTCCAAAACAGAATATAATAGAGATAATGTTAACATATGGTTTTCTAAATCAATATGTAGCCCATAGGGATCCTTGAGTATAATTTAGTGGCTCCTGTTTCTATTTGAGTTTGGCACCACTGACCTAGAACACTAAAAGGGTAAGTGGCTTGCCCAGGGTCACACAGCCAGAGTAGGTCAAAGGCAGGACCTGAATCCAGGCCATTCTGACTTAGAAACCAGCTTTCTACCACAATGCTGTAGTCCATTTGCTAGGGTTTTATTTAAAGTTTTTACATCAAAATTCATTAACAAAACTGGTTTAGGTCTTGAGACCATATTGGCCTCATAAAAGGTAAGATGCTCTCCGCAATTATTGAGAATAATCTGTGTAACATAAGTTTTAATTATCTTTAAATGTTTGATAGAATTCATCTGGAAATCTGTCTGCACCAGGGTATTTTCTCTCTTCTCCTTTTGGTAGTTCCTTTGGTAGTCTGCTCAATTTAATTTTTCTGAGACTTGGTTGTTTAGAATCTCTAGGTCATGTTCTGTTAATGTAAGTATTTTACAGTCTTGTGGGTAATACCCAATTCTTCTGAATGTGCAGTTTTGCTGAATATAATTGGATATAAGATTTTCTGATAATCCACTGTATTTTCTCCTCTGTTATGAATTCACCTTATTCATTTTTTTTTATTTTGATAATTTGATCCTCTCCCCTCCCTTTTTTGGATCAGATTAGCAAAAGTTAATCACTGTGAGTATCTTGAGTCTAAACCACCCCTAGCTGCTTCCCAGCCTTAGGCCACATATTTCTATGGATTCTCTTCCTAAGAACAGGGCAAGGGGGACCTGGAATGATGGCATGGGGCGGAGGGAGGGAAATAAAATAAGGAGCAGGTACAGTATCTGGGAATACGGAGGCAGAAGAAGAGGTGGCTGGATTATTGTTTGGAATAGATGGCTAGATGGTGCAGTGGATACAGCGCTGGGCCTGGAGTCAGGAAGACCTGAGTTCAAATCTGGCCTCAGACATTTATTAGCTGTGTGACCCTGGGCAAGTCACTTAACTCTGTTTGCCTCAGTAAAATGAGCTGGAGAAGGAAATAGCAAACCACTCCAATATCTTTGCCAAGAAAATCCCAAATGGGGTCATGAAGAGTCAGATATGACTGAATAGCAAATGAACAACAGGCTCTGGATCTTGGTTCTATGGCTAGAAGAAAGCAATGGAATCTTCATTCCCCATAGAAAGAATAATGCATATTCATACAGGACTTCAGTGTTGACAAAGGTAGGAGGTGGGAGAATTACCGGCCCCAGAAAAGGAAACAGGTTTGGATAAATTAACGTTTGCTCGTTGTCACATAATTATTAAGTGTCTGAGGCAGCACTGGAACTCGGGTCTCTTGATTCCATTTCCAAGACTTTTCGGACAT